GAAAAATGGTTGAACAAAAAACAATAACCCTTCCNAANCCAAAGTCCCCCCCCCTTTCAAAAATTTAACGTTTTTTTTTTTTTTTTTTGCATGAACTCAACTTAAATAGATGAAGTTATCAAGCATTTTTAATCCAAAAGTTCACACCATGTTTAAAATGAGTACAAACAAGTTGATGAGAATTAAGTTATGTTCACTCAAAGTCTTTTATTAAACAGAATGTTTAGTTAACTTTGATGACAATCCGATTTGATTTGTGTGGAAACTATCAGCTGTCATCTGACAGCTGATAGTTGTCAGCTGTCAGACGGGTCCACACAGCAAGCTGTTCATTACAAACAAACAGTGTGTTTCTCTCACCGTGTAGATCTGTAATAAACCGTATTGGTGTGTGCTTTGCTTTGTTGTTTTCACTGTAATAGTTTGTGTTTTGAACCATGTTACCAGATGAGTTACACCTTAAGGTTTTCAGCCTTTCTGCTCATGCTGGACAGATGTCCAAGTTTCTCCCTTTTATCACCATGTTCCTTTCCTGAGATTTATATGGATGGAGTTTCCTTCTGTTTCTTTGGATCCAGTATGGATCACATGAATTTCCCTTTGCAATTGTAATGTAATTTTTAGCAGCGATAGAATTACTGCACATTGGTAATAAACACACCGCTGAAGTTTATATGACATGATCCTTCTAAATAATACCATTATGTGTCTGACTAATTACAAGATTATGTTTTTTATATATAAGGGGACATTGACCAGATATTTGACCAGTGTCAAAGTTTCAATTAAATTCAAAAATAATATGGGGAATGAAAGGGAAATGAAAACTAAATTCATCAAAGTATCTTCAAAGAATCATTTTGGATGGTGATGCTGTGGGTCGAAAGAATCTCTGGTAGAGGTCAGTCTCGCAACCAATCTGCAGATGCCTCTGACTGAAGACTTAATTTCCAGGCACCAGAGTCAATATTCCACTCTCTTTAATATTCTACCTGGCTGTACGGTTAAAGGCGGGCGAAGACGCTGCGGTCTGGGATCTGATCCTCGTCCAGTCAGATTGGTGGAAGGAATGGTTTGGGCTTCCTCCTGCTCTGTTCTAAGGGTTTGGGGTCAGAGTTCAGCTAATATTTGAGTTTTTGAGATACTAATAATTTGCTCCCACTCTATACCTTTGGATTAAGTCTCAGATATTTTCATATCTTCTCCTCTAGTTTCAGCCTCACCAGCCCATCCTCCCACTGTGCTCATTCATATAGATCCAACACCGAAGAAACAATCTCCAGCATGTAACTTTTGAAAATATTAAAAGCTTAAACATCAGGTTAAAGGTCATTTTTATGATCTCCCCCACCCCATTCAAAGTACTTGAATAAGATGTTCCAGTGTATAAATGTGTCCACAGGTCTCACTTATATTAGTAGAACTTGCATGGCTTTGACTCTACATCTTGAGAAAGCATTCTTTGGCATTACTCCACACTTGTATTCCCTGTAAAAAGAGAGTAGACATGAAACTAGACAGTGAGCTTTTACAGAAATGTAAGCTGAGTTTAGGCTCTTCTCTACCTTCTTGCACATGCTGATTTGCATGAGAGCGTAGTTGATGAGCGCCTCTTGCAGATCTTTGTCCTTCTGATCCTTAAAACGGACAATGTCTGCCCACGCCTTTTCAGCATGCTCACTGGAAAAGACACATGAAGCAGAGCGGTACCAGAACCTGATCCATCAGCCATGCTGCTGCTTTCACGCAACTCACTCGCACTCAGCTGTTTTCTCCTTCACAGTCTCTTCCCCCTCTGCTATCAGCTCCTCCAGGAGGTTGAGCTTGGCATCCCTCTGCTCAGGTGCTTCTTGCCCAAAAAGCTTGTTGGTCATGCCTTTTAAGGAGAAAGTGCGCACTATCTGAGATGGTCAGCAAGAGAAACAGAACAGAAAATGGAATAAATGAAAAGTTATTGCCTTCTGGATTAGTTACATGTTTAAAACACCTGACTGAGTTTATAAATGTTACATTATGTTGCCAAAAGCGTTCACTTATCTGCCTTCACACATGGCCCAACACTATGCACTCTTTTAGGAAGACTTAGGGAGTGTTTTATATTGGATGGGTCATGATGCCTTCTGTAATTCATCTCTAATGTCTTCTATTAGGTTGAAACCAGAACTCTGTGCAGACCAATGCTGTTAGCTCATGCCTAAGGTCTCATTCAGGTCTGTATGGTGCAGTCGTGTCAGACCAGGAGGATGGTTCTAACATCCATCCATCCATCCACCCACCCACCCACAGGACACAATCAAGAAAACACATACAGAGGAAGTTTAAATACATTGAATAAAAACACGTGTACACCTCTGTTTCTCACTCTCCAAAAGAAGATTTCATGCCTTGACTTATTACAGCAGTGCTATCCTGTCATGTAGGTTAGAATCGCCCTACAGTGTAACCCGTTCCTTCACTACTTTCTGCAGCATTAGTCTGCATAACGAGATGCTGGGTTTTATACACCTGTGGCCTTAGAAGTGATCAGAACAGATTAATTAAAGCACTTGGATCCTTTTGCCAACATAAAGTTTGGAATAAAGGACCTAATGTGTGATGCTGCGTGATGCTACATGATGCTGCATGGTGTACCCCGGTGGCCAGCTCCTCACGCTGCTGCTTCTTCGAGATGAGGTCCTGGGACGCCATTTCCAGCTCAAACTGGCTCAGCTCATGTTTTCTGCACACTGCTCTGCAAAGGCAAAGGCAATATTGAATTCCATTTATTTACCTCATACAGTATGTCATAGTAGGGTTAGAAAACAAAATGAAGTGGAGGGAAAATGCTTAATGATTTTGAATATCTGTTCCAAATGAAACATTAATGGAGTGGGTGCATTAGAATTCAGGACGATTTAAACCGTTTCATTGCATCTCTGGCTGTATTCTGAGGGTGCAGAATACAAAAAAAATAATGTTTTGCTTCTTCAGCCTCTAACAGGTTTTCTCCTGGGATATCCTGGATTTAGAGCCATCGATTTTCACCAGCTCTAACCAGCTTCCACACACACAGTGTTTGTTCTTTGTCATTCCTTGTTTTGTTGTTTTTCCATGAAGATCAAAAAGTTCAAATTTCTCTTAATGAGCAGAGCAATGTGTAGCTTGGCCACCTGAGTGTTTTTGAGAAACTGCAAACAGGACGTGTCGTGACTTTCCTAACAATGGCTTTCTTCTTGCCTGTCTAACTTAAAGTCCAGATTTGTGCACAACTAATACTTTTCTACTGAACAGGTGATCCAACGTTAGCTTTGGATTTCTTCATTTCCTTCAGGGTAACCATGGATATCTTGGCTGCTTCTCTGATTAATGCTGTGAGGCTATTGTAGAACATAATCCTGCTTTGAACATTCCCTCTGACCTGTTGCTGGGTTCCTGGGTCTCCATGACGATAACTGTTCTGTGATGTTCTCTATCAAACATTTGAGGACAGAAACACAACAGCTGTATCTAGACTTATACTGTGTCACACACAGCTGGACTGTTGTTGACTTCTGGAACAGTCCCAGGGCCATACATGCACACAGCCCCTCCTGAATGTTACCTCACAGCTTCAGCGTAGGACAGATATTCTTTCAGCTGATCAGCATAATGTTCCTCTTCTTCCAAGATGTCGTCTACTGAGGCAGCATAGCTGTAAGTGAATGACCAACATGGTTGCTGTCAGCATGAGGTCTTTCTGCATGTTTTAACTGAAGAGCTTCTCCAGACTATCAGATGAGTTGATTTATTACAAGAGAGTTCTTACGCATCCATGTGATGACCAGCACTCTGCAGTCCATCTCCCATCTCTTTCTCAATGGCACTCCACTCACTGTAGTGAACACACCAATGAATTAATTTTTACAAGGGATCAGAGACACTTATGAATTTGTTCAAACAGTCTTGCATAAGGTCAGCATTATGACTAATAACTGAGACTTCTAAATCACTTTAGTTCAGATAAAGGATGCATGCAAGCATGTTGTCAAACCTGAAGACTCGTCCATAGTTTCCGTGGACTTTGTAAACAGCATACAGTCTATCGGCAACCCTCTGCAGGACAGAGAAAAACTGTTAATCTGCAATGCAAAGATTGTAGGATCCACTTTGTCATCTGCAGGAATTCTCCACTAATACTGAGCATAAAACATTTTACTAGCGTGTTCTAACGATCCCCTAGAAGCTCCTGGATTCTGATGTTCACAGTAATAAAGATGGCAGAGGATTTACATTGGAATGTGTGCTGTCCTACACGTCTCGACTGTAGAACTGCTGAGAGGCTCAGAGGAACAGCCAGGAGTCAATTAACAGGAAGATTTTCCAGTTGTGACATTTTCAGTGTGTACGTCATATTTTGCATGAAGTAGGACTCAGTACTACCACTGGTGGTTTCTGATAAGCATGACACGACCACGACCAACCGCCCAGGGAGGGATCTTGTGAGGGATGGCATTAGCCCCCCAATAACTCCCTTGTGGAGTTTAACAGCTTCAAAAGATTTTAGGCAATTACAAAAAATGTTTGCGCGCGTGTGTGTGTGTGAACTTACAGTTCGTGCTCGAAGCAGCTGAGAAGTGTGAGACTGAAGCCCATCGCTGTAATGTTTCATCTCCACTAGGCGTCTGAGATGAAGACATTAATGAAATATTTCTAGCATGGAAGCCTCAGCATTATCAATAATTATTTAGTGACAGAAACACTTTTGACCATTTAAGGTTCACAGAAATCTCTATAGCAGGGATGTCACCCTCAGTTACACAGGTTGTCAAGATGAAAACCTGGTCCGAGTGAAGGGCCACCCTGAATCCTGCCTCACAGCCCTGCTCCAGAGAGCAAATTCCCACAGGAAAAGCTACAAAAAAAACATCAGGACATTCACTCTGATGGAACAAACTGCCAGAAAACTGTAAAGATGCTGAAACACAGGTTTTTTAACTGAAGGCTGACACCCACATGTTTAGAGTTGCATTTGATTCACAGTAACTGGAACATTGGTTAATTCTACTCTTCATTGAATATTTCATAATAATCTGCAAACAACACCGTAAATGCCATTGTTTATTCTACATGAGTGACAATAAAGACATCTTATCTTAAAAATGTATCTCCTTTGTGGGGTTTAACAGCTTCAAAAGATTTTAGGCAATTACAAAAAATTATGAAACTTTATGGTTTCATAATGTTAGACTTACTTATGTGGACTTCTCACCCTGAAGGTGGCGCTCAAAGCTCTGAGTCTGGAATCTGCCTGCAAAGGAAATGTCAGGAAACTTTCAAACCCAGAGAACACAGAACATCCCAGTGATGACAGAAAGCAGAGCTGCACACCTATACCTTTGCCTGGAATCCTGTCTCATACACCATTTCCTTCCAGCCATGCTCCTGCCACATAAAGTCACAGAGAAATGTTTTTTTACTTTAAGATTTGAGCTCTATAGGATACATATTTGGATCAGGAACAAAGGAGCAACATTCCACACCTTGGTGAGGAAGTGGTAAAGCATCTCGTTATTGGAAAGAACTGGATGAGAGGCCACACGGAGCAGGAAGTTCTCCAGTCCAATCCTGCGCCGCTCCACAAAGTCTGGGTCCATGTTGTCTGCAGAAAGCTTGTGCCATACAAACTCTGCCTGCAAGCAGAAAATACAACATCACCCCCACCTTTCTGTACACCTGGAAAGGTTTGTAAAATGTGCCAAGCCAGGCTTGGTGAAGGTTCTTGTCTATTATTGTTGGGAGAAAGAAAAACAAGTCATGGTTGAAACTTGTTTTTGTTTATAAAACAGAGTGATGATGGCTGAAAAGCACCTTAAGCCTGGCTTCAAAACCATTCTGATAATCACAAAAAGTCCTATTTACTGAATATGAAGAGTTAATCTGATATATTTAATATGAACCTCACTCAGTTCATCTGATCTAATGAACTAAAGAAAAAATTGTGACTCAATTTACAAGTCCAGATATATGAATTATGATTTATGCAGCTAGGATTGTGGAGCTTACAGAGTGAAATTCTCCATATCTGGCCAAGATCTGGATTGCATGTTTCTTGTTCTCTATACCTCCTTGCACATCCTTCCATAAAATTTATGTTCAAATATGTTTTAGTTCTTTCGATGTGTGTGTTACCTGGGTTGTTACCGTAGAGGTGTGAATATAATGTCAACAAAAAATAAGATATATATTTCATAAGAAAAATTGTTTACCTGATCTAAACCATATTTTTATTTTCAATAAACGAGAGAACAGAATCAAATCCCTGAGAAGACATGCTGTTCTAGATTCTTCAGGTACTTTGAGTCACACCATGTTGGACAGAGAATTACTCCACTGAAGGAGGAAACATCCAGCATCGCCAGTAAGATGCACTGATGTGTCGAGAAAAAAGTCAGCTGAATCAAAATATTCCAGAGTCAAATGTGAGACCATCTGTCTAACAATTGATGCTTTGTTTACATTGGGTCATTCAGAAAGACAGTGATACCAAGCACAGCTGAATGCTGTTTAAGCAGGAAATGTGTTGAAATGAACAAACAATGCCACAATGCTGCTTTCCCACTAGGGTAATGCTATGGGCAAGTTATCCCTGAATACATAAAATAACTAATAAATGAGAGGCCGTGGAAGCAGTATTAATGCAGTACTGAAACAATGGATGAGGGACATACATGACATTTTCATGAGGAGCCACCCTGAACTCACCCTCTTCTCAGGCAGAGGAGGAACCACGATGTATGGATATGTAACTATCAGATAGTTCCTCAGCAGTTCAAACTCACTGTATCGCCTCCACAGAGAGTCAGGCGGTGGATTATGGCCTTCAGCAATTGCATCCATTGGTCTTTATATTTTGTTCAAGACAAAAAAAAACAAAAAAAAAAACAGAAGGTGAATTCTGCAATATCACAGGAGGAGGAAGTGCAGCTGCACGCATTTTTAAACATCAGGTGTCAAACTATAGGACATCTTCAAACAGCAGCCGGTGGATTACTGTGCTCACCTTGTCTCAACCAGGTACACAGTGTAGGTCTCCTGTATGCTGACTGCATTCTTACCGCTCCTTTTCTCAGCTTCAGCAACACTGATCTCCATCCTCCGCAGGAGACAGGAGCCTTCTGTCAACATCTGTCCCAACATAACAACCCGCGTCAGGATGGAGATGACAGTTAGCTCCGACGTAGCTGCGTAAAATGTTTGTGTTCGTCAGCCCAGTTTTCCTCGCATAAGCGAGCCCTGACGTAAGCTCATGTTAAAAACCACGACACAAAGCGACGTCTCTGCTAAACAAAAAGACGTTAAGCAAGATAAAGCGGCTGTTTACCGTGTTATTTAGGCTCCCGTCAGATGCTGCTAAATCCGACTCATCGTTAGAAGTCACCGACTCTTCCTTCACGTCCTCCGCCATCCTTCCTCATCAGACCACGGGTCCAGTCAGTTCGCCTCGCAGTGTTGCTTTGCGCGCGAATACTAGATATTACGACTCGTTAAGGATTATGATAGAAAAAACAAAAAAAACACAAACTAATTAATTTAAGCACTAGGATAAATTTTCGCTGAACCTTTAAAACGAGGCTTAGTTTTTGTATTCAGTCGGTAGAGAAGACGCGCCATACACAGAAACTACAGTTGTCCTGGGTTGACTGCATAACCTAGACTGCCTCTATGGCCGCAAAAAATGAGCACCAATGAGTTGCATAACTGTTCCTCACCAAACGCTAATCTGTTTTTTTTTTTTTTTTAAATTGACAATATTTTTAGTGTTTCTTTAGTGTTAAGCGTTTCAAAAATTATTAGTTTGGTGTAATATCGTAAAACCACACTAGTTATGCTCCTGTATTTATTTTGAAATCAGATCAGTTTTTACCGTAATGCACTGAAGTCACACAGCACAGAGCACCGTGAGGTCAGCCTTCAAATGATGACGGTGAGGATCCAAGACGCATGCGCAGTGAGCATCATCTAACTGAGGAAAGCGACCTAATAATAATAATAATAATAATAATAATACAGAATCAAACTTCCATTTTTAGGACGCTGTGTTTTTCAGCGTCCTAAATGGAAATCCTAATGGAAGCCCATTTCTTGCTTTACAAGAAAAACACAAATGACATGAAAGAAGTAGCTAAGAAGGAGATGTGGATAAAAGTAAATGTAAGTAAATATATTTTCAGATATTGGTGTAATAATTTAACCATAACTATACAAAACTACAACGTATTCCATTCGTTCATAATTTATTCAACAAGGGTGGAGGAAGTAAGTACACCCCTTAGTGCAATAGAATGTAAAACCACCATTTTAATACAAGTGAGTTTGGCTCCAGACAACCCAGTGTGAAGACCCCACCCACCCTATTGTTGACCCAGGAAGGTAAGGCCAGTCCTTGTTTTGTTTAGTGTAAAAATTCTACAAATCATGATCAAAAAAAAAAAAAGGATAGTACAGTAAAACTTTATTTTGAATGTTGAAAAACAAACCTTACCCGTCATCATAACTACAGAACACACAACATAAAGGAAAAAAATCATGGCTGAACAAGCAATATATGACATCATTAACCATACATGGATTTTAATTCAGAATTTCTCTCAAAAGTCTGGTTGAAGTTATTGGTAACAGAAAAAAGAAAACTTAGATATCTCCAAATACACACAAGATTGAAAATGTGGTGTCCTGGAATGAGAGCAGTAAAACCTTTGGTCATTTCTATGTTAACCCCACAGAAGGCAGCACCAGGTTGGTGCTGCCTTCTGCTTCTTTCCTAATGATTGATTAATAGTATCAATCGTATAATACAGGGGTGGCCAAGTCCAGTCCTCGAGAGCCACCATCCTGCAAGTTTTAGAAGTATCCTTACTCCAACAGACCGGGATCAGCTCTACAGAGGCCTGATAATGAGCCAGTCATTTGATTCAGGTGTGTTGAAGCAGGGATGCATCTGAAACTTGCAGGATGGTGGCTCTCGAGGACTGGACTTGGCCACCCCTGGAATAGTATATACGTATAATAGTATAATCGTATAATAGTATAATAGTAGTATGACTGACCCTGCTGATTGTCCATCCTGCTCTATTGCTCCTCCAGCTTTCCTTCCATCCACTTGTCTGTAAAAGTCACATCATACAACATTTAATTTCCCTTTTAGGAATAAAAAGTATTTTTAAATTGAACTGAAGTTATTTAAGTTCCACCATTAAATTCAGTTGATGTAGAATTTATTAAACTTTAGTCACATCTGAACTGATTGGAGATGGGAAAATCAAACAGCTCTAGAACTTGTTGTGGAACAAATCTTCAGAGAACATCTCAGTCAATCAGAATGGAAGAAAAAAAATATTTGTAATTATTTCAAATAAGCCACGCAATCATTTCAAACTCCTAGGAAAACAGTATTGCAGAGTTTTAATAGGCAGATTAAGTGAAAAATAAAGCAACAAACTGACTGGTACATTGTTAGATTAAAAAGGAGAAGCAAATGAAACATAATTTATGAAGATGTTTAGCCCCGTCCATATTTTAGACCTTAAAACCATTCTCACTGTACTGCAACATGACTGTTGAATGGACATGTTGCCGATATTGCAGCCTGGTATGCAGCTGCAAAATCATGAAGGCAACATTAATTAAACCCATATTATTATGTAATCAAGATCTTCTGGAAGCCCATTAATTGTTTGTGTGTCTATTGGTACAGTGTTATTGTTCTGTTGTAGGCTAAGAATGTAATCAGGGACAGAAAGGCCATGATTCCAGGAACTAATGAGATGCATCAACTTTACTAATTATTTATGAAACCCCAAATTATTACTCATCAGTCATCATCTGATCTGCAGCTCATAAAAGCATCCTGAACTGATTGAAATAGTGTTTTTATTAGTATGTGTTACTGTTGGCTGGATGGAAATTGTTAAGGTTGAATTAGATTAAAACTGAATCAAGTTTAGATAAACAATTCCAATCTTTCTGACCACACACTTCAGCAGTCACTTTTCAAATTTAAATAAAATAGGCAATGTATGGTAAATGGTTTGCATTAGTGAGCAAAAACAGTTTTATAATGGAAAATAAGACTGTTTTTATATTTCAAAACAAATATAAAAACATTTCATTTTGGAAGTCCAGGTTTTTTTTTTTTTTGTCTTTTAGAAAATTGGATAAAGTTCGGAAACTATCTTTTTCCATACATATTAAGACTTTTAAAAACACTGAAAGCAAACTCCATATTTTCCACATTTTTAAGGACTTCAAACAAATTCACCAACAGTTTTTCAAAGAACTGACTTTCCATCGCCTCCAAAACTTGCATGAAAGACTTCTAAAGGCGCTTACTGAAGACCAATCACAGTGAAACTCCAATGTGTTGACAGAGAGAGATCGGTTAATGGACAGAAAAATAAAATCTGAATCGAGATAAATGCTTTGGAATAAATACATATGTGCAAATTTACAGCTAGCAGGTAGAGTTACATTCCTCTGCCTTGAAGCACATCTCTGCCCCCCAGTGGGAGGGGCTAAGTCCTCATGAGGCTCACTCCACCTTCCCTCCACCCAGAGGGAGCAGAACGTAGTCCAGTCAAAGGCCAGGTTTCACGGCCGTTCAGGGCTCTGAGGCTCATCCTGTGAGCCAACAAAGAAGCAGACTTGCTGTGGGGAGGAGGGAGCACCGAGGGAGGAGGAGGTAGACGATGGGATGTCCCAGTAGTTGCTGTGGAGGTCAAAGGAAGAAAGAGCAGGAACGATGGTCTGTGTGGGACTTTCAGGCTCAGAAGGGAGCGGCGGGACGCTCAAGCACTTCCTCAGGCAGCGATCACTGCACAAGAGAACAGATCTGATCTGAAATCATTTAAGAACAGATAGAGCCACTTATTTTATTTTTACTATCTGACATGAAACCAGGCTAAATATTTTATTTTTAAATCAGTTAGGGTCATCAAAATAATTTGTATTTCTTAAATTCCAGGATAATGTGAGACTTTCTGCAAAGTCAGCCACTTGTACCTCTCTCCACTGAGAGCTTCAGGTCGGGTATTACCTGGTGGGGCCTGGCCTGGTCGGGTTGGGTTGATATGCTATTTTATGGTTCAGCGTGTTCAGGAGAGCGTGTCCACTACCAGTTGGAATCTCACTGGCCTTCAGTACTAGTATTAATTTCACTTGAAGGTTATTTCACTTGTAATAAGACATTATTCCCATGTTATAGTGCATTAATTTGCCAGTCCAACTAGTAATTTTTACTTTGTGTATACTCTCTCTGCTACGCCACAGCTTCTCCTGGACTTCCATGAATGCTAAAGCTAATTAGCACGGATAAATGGTTTTCGTGGAACAATAAGTTGTTTCTCCACATCCTGAGCATCAGGAACACAAGGATGATTGACAGCGCTTAGACCCTCCTCCTGACTCTGGTTGTTTCTGAGCGATGCATTTCTTCAGACAGCAATAGTAGCTCAATCCTCCCACAAATAATCTGTCTCTTATTATAGTGTCATAACATGGTGACACTATTAACAAATATTTTTGTAAAAGTTACTAAAGCTTTAATCTGGAAAAATATCTATGTATGGATATAGGAGTGGGCATTTATCTTATCATTTATCAGTTATTGTGGTAAATTTCTTGTCATGATAAAAATGTTAATTATCGTTGTCACGATAAATTCCAATTAATGATGTTTAAAACCCTCCAAAGCTGTTCATATTGTCAGAATTGTTAGTTTGACTATTTTCTCCACTGTTTGTTCATTGATTATCAATAATCAAATCAACTGTGAGCAGCTCAGTGACACACAGTGCACTGCTTTCAGTGACTGGTATGGTAAAGAAGTGTATGTGAAATTAAATGTTTTTAAGAGAAGGACTTGTTTGTGTGGGTCTGTGATTGCTGTGCCAAGCTGTCCCAGTCATACAGTTACCAAAAATAGTAACATTGCAAATTGTTCTTATTGTAGTGTTTATCATTATCACAATGGACGTTTTATTGTGGTAAAACGTCCATATTTGTTTCCCTCTCCTTCAAGGAAACAAATAGACTGGTCAATTGAAATGTACCTTTATCCAAGTTTTCCTCAGCTTGGATACTTGGACCTACTACAGGCCCACTAAAGACTTTAAAGTGAAGTAATGGATGGTTTCAGGTGCTTCACCTATTGGCAGCAGCTGCGCTGGGTTTCCAGGCCTGTCTGTACACGTCACCTGCCACCCCAAACAGCCAGCGCACATCAGCAGGCACCTCTGGGATCCACTCCACAAACCTATCGCGCAAACACCACATGTTCACATATATCATATTCTATGAAGAAATGTTTAATACCCACAGAATGTTTAGCAGTTACTGTCACATTACAGCTACTACCTTATGTGTATTTAATTGTCATTTGGAACTGGATGGAAAATCTAAACTTTTAATAAACATGTTGTGGATCCCTCCAGCTTACCTCTGGGCCACAGAATATGCAGACTGGACTGGAAGTGTGTATGGCATCAGCATATAGGAAGCAACTCTCAGTGGCAGCATGCCAGACACTCTGGCATAAAGGCCCGATTTGTCTTGGCAGGCCTCACAGAACACTGTCAGACATGATGAGGAGGATTATTCAGCTGCATGCTGAGGCATCATCTTATCTGTAATGATCAACTTTCAAACTTAAGAGTCAACATCCCACCTTTCTTTATGTGAGTGGGCAGAACAATGTGTTCATCCAGCCACCAGTGCTTGTTGTGCAGCAGGCGGAGTCTACGAAGCACCCACTCCTTGGTGCTCTCAGCAGGCTTGGAGCAGCAGCTGCTGGAGTCAGAGCCAGGGCCAGAGCCGAGGCCGATTCCAGAGCTGTCTGGCAGGCTGCGACTGGGGCAGTCCAGCATTAGCAGGTCTGGCAGCACAAACACACACAGATCACACAGCTCAGGCTAACTGCAGCTCAGACAAGGCTGCAGGCGGCAGTACAACACGGGACTCACTGTTCTCCTGAAGGAAGCGCAGAGCATCCTTGTAGCCGCTCTGACACATGTCAGCCAGGACCTGAGGGAGAGGAAGGCATCAGGTCAGAGGCTTTGTTTCACCTGCCACTGCTATTTCTGACTACCTGCAGGGTAGCATAAATTTTTCAAAATAAGACTATAAGAAAGAAGAAAATAAATCTAAATTTGTTCTACAAATATTGTTACATCATTTGGATGAGTTTCTTAACAGCTTCTTGTGTTTCACGATTTTTGGTCAACATTGAAATCAGAATCAGATTTATAAGTTTGTGCACAAAAACAAGCAATTTGACTTCAGTTCCACTTTTACTCTTATTGAAGACATTTCAAATAGAAAAGGGTATAATAAAAAATATAATTTTACATATAAATATGCACATGTATGTGTTTATAGAAAGAGAAGAGTAGGCTGAATTTGTGAAAATACGCATAGTATGAGTCTGACTGTTGAGTCTCACAAACATTCTGGACTGGTGATCTCATTACAACTAAATGAAAGTCCAAACTGAAAAAAAGCTATTTGGATTTTGATGAAAACGGATGAACATAATCACTTAACTGTATTTAAACCGATATAAAGTTTTGTGTTACATTCCTGATCAGCACCAAAGATGTTTTTTTTGTCCCAAAAAAAAAACATCTTTAATAAAATGCACCATGATTAGGAAAAGGACAGGAAGCCCATTTACAAACTGTCTAGTTAAATCTGAATGAGCCAGGTTTGTGTGACCACCTGGGGGCAGGAGAGTTAGCATCTTCTGAAGTTGTGCGATGGACCACTTGTCAGTCTCATACCTTATTTGGAAATGAGACCATTGCAATCCGGAAGTGAAGGGGGCGCCATTTCCTATACTTCCGTTTTTATTTTCTTTTTAAATCTGTAATACATTTTCACCTTTAGGAAGGAGTTTCACTCTCAGAATGTATTTGAACTTCTCTCTTTTATTTACTTCACGGCAACTCACAGTTTTTAGCAAATTCTGTAGCTTTCGGTGTACTTCTAAATCTGCTCCTTAGTCGCATCTTTTCGGGCTTGCGACTGCCTCTGGTAGCGTGGGGGTGGTAACACAACTAATATAATTAAATTACTAAATCAGAGTACCACGTCTTTTTATTTACTATTAATTCTGGCATTACTGGTACCATAAAAGATAAATTATCTTATAAAACAACATATTTTTTTCATTTTCTTAAGGAAGTAGAGCTAATTAAATGAGATAAACAAGAACTGAAAGTGATTACAGTTTCACTTGATGGCCAACCTGTTGAAACTGTGGCAAATTTTAAATTCCTTGTGTCATTCCTGGACAGTCAGCTCAACTTTGCTGAAAACACTGACTATATTTTTAAGAACCGTTTTCAAAGACTCTAC